CCCCCCCCCCCCCCCCGCCATACACACACGCTCCATGGAATGGAGCAGGCAGGCACTTTCTGAAAGAGAGATTGTAACAAAGAATGGCTCAGAATAGTAGGTCATTTTGACTGCCCTTCAAGTGTCAATTGGCTCCAAAGCAGGCTTTGGTAATCATTAGGCGCAGTGTTATGAAAGGCTAGCACATATGCCCTAATCAACGTATGATTTAATTAGAAACCAGCTATCTATAATAAAGTGGAAGGTGGCACCTGAAATATAGAGGAAACACTTAGGCCTCGTTCGTCTCCAAGCAAAGTAGAGACAGAAATAAATAATTCAGAGCACCTTTCCCCAGTAAAAAGAAAGTTCAGCAGCACCCTGGCAATCAAGCCGGGTGAATATGATTATACAGCAATTAACCCACTCTTCTTAAATACATAGATTTACAAACAGATCATTGTCTCTGCCAACTGGAGAAGAGGGAAAAGACAGGAGGGGGTGCAGACTGGATATAGAAGTGATTTGATTAAAAGAAAAAGAAAAAGAACAAATCACATGATGAGTCATGGCTTAGAATTTGAAGTTTCAAATGCAGTCCTGATTTCTCTGGATATACTGGCTGCCATAAATTGTTGGCTAGAAATCACACTTGGTAAGACACAGTAAAAGCCATGGTAATGGAATACGCACAGGAATCATATAGTATCATAAGCTGTGCTCCTTGAAGAGTTGTAGCAAATCAAGTTTAATGACCATATCACCACAATATCCTGAACCTCTGCAGATTATTGCAGCTTGCAGTACCATTTCTGAAAAATCTAATTTATTTCATTATGGTTTCCCGTCATTTCTGCCTACGCACCTTTCTTTTATTAAACACTCTACCGCAGTCCCCTTCCTCAACTGATTTTCTTCTCTTTCCTCATAACAGGGGAGTCTGGGTTTCTTGTCTTTCTGACAAGGGGGCTGATTAGATAGGATGTTATATGGGACAAGAACTTGCATTTGCAGAACACTATTGCGCAGAATAGTTTGGGTTACAGGAAGTAACTTTGTGACATTTTATTATACAAAGTAAAGCTGGAAAAAAGAGTGAACATTCATGAGAAATACGTTAACCCTACCCCTCTCAACAAAAAAGTAATACATGGAAAAAGTTCTTATGTAGGTGGCAACATGTAACCTAGAACTTTCACAGAAATAGGAGACAGGACAGCATATGTTTTGCAAGTGGCTGGGAGAAGATAGTGAGAAGAACACCTATCTCCTCTACCAAACAGTATCTAGAACATGTCAGGACCAAACAAGATTAGCTTGTGCTGATGTGAATTCTGATCAGTTTCTAAGATCATGCCATAACCGTTTGTAAGTTAGGGCAGATACAAACTGGCACTAAGGCCATTAAAGCTGCCTAGTGAAGACTGGTTTATGCCTTCAAAGATGTTTACTGTCCCTTGAGTCTCACCTTAGCAATATAATGTAAAGGAAAAACAGGACCTATCCAAAAGGAAGCCATACTGCCTCTTACCATACTGTTCCCAAGAGACAAAGAGCTGTTGAATAATCCTGCCATTAATGGCAATCTGGGTATAGGAAGTAAACTCTTCTCAAGTGTGAAACGGGCTGCACTAAGAAGGCACACTCTCTATCGCTCTAGCCCTGATCCACTGCTCATTTACCGAAGAATGTCTTCATTGCATGGTGATGTGGAAGAGATGGGAGGACTTCGTAATGGTCTTCCAGTAGGCTGCAAAGCTGTCACAACACGATGTACCTTTTGGCCAGTTTTCTTTCGATTGTAAAGATGGGAAAGCTCAACACTTCTTAAAACTGAAATATGATTGTTTGCCTTGATGCTGAAATATAATTGTGCCTCTCCATGGATCATAGCTCTACATAGCAGCTGCAGTTCTAGTTGATAATGGTCCCTTCAAATCTTTGACTGAATCATTAAATGCCCCTTCCTCTCTGTAGGAGATGGTAAAGTTCTGATAAAACTTGGAACAAAGTATGTTAATACGTAAGTTGAAATGTTTGATGTAAAGCCAATATATCCTCAAGCTTCTCTGACACTAGAAGTGGAAACCACTCAGGCAGGGATTCAAGGATACAGATCTCTGATAAGTACGTTTATTCAAAACCATGTCTATGTTATTCCAATCCAGCTTCCCTTACTATATGTTCAGCATATAGGTTAAATAAATTAGGAGAGAGAATACAGCCTTCTCGCACTACTTTGTCAACCTGGAGCCAGCTTGTTCTGTCCATATGGTGGCTTCCTGACCTGAATATAAGTTTCTCTTGAGAACAATGAGATATTATGGGATTCTGTTACACTTAGCTGGAACTTATCAAAAACTGATCCATTTCAAGGGCTAATTTTCCATGAGATGATAAATCGGCCTCCACATTGTTTCACTTCAGAGTGAAGACGAAAACTAATATAAAAGGAATGCTTCTCCTACACACACAAATGCTGGCATCTGGGCTCCAGTCTTGTCTTCTCCCTCACGTGCTACTTTTATATGTGGAGTGGAACTCTATCATACCAGCCACCACTTCCATCAGGTAAAAGTCAGGAAGACAGGGTACAAGTTTACCAGTTTGGGTACAACTGAAGTAAAGCTAGGTGAAACCGCAAGAAATTAGTAGGGCTTAGAAATTAGGATTAACAAGTAATAATAGCTGACTATAAAGATTACAGGTTGGCTAGAATTTTGAAATTAAGTTTGCAACAGAAAAATATACCTTACCTCATCTGCCCTTCGGAGAAGCCCAGTTATAACCTGAAAAAAAGAAAGAAAAATACACTTCAGTTTGCAATGGCAAACCAATTCTTTGCAAACTGAGCCAGAAAATGTTAATTGAAAAGAACGATGTCTTCACACAAGAGGCATCTTAGCATTATCAGCAAGAAGCAGGATATTCTACAAAAATTATTCAAACCCTAAAGGAAGTATTAGGTGGTTCAAATACAGCTCTAAGTCATGGCTTAGTGTTATATAAAAACTCATGCTTGTGTGATCAGAGTTGGCATAACCATAAGAGGATCAGACACTTTCTCTAACAATAAACCACACTTTTGTGATGTCTGAATCCACATGTCAACTTCATATGTCTCAGTTTGTTTAGATCAGGCACAAAACAACAAAAACTTTCAGCCTCTCCCCAACACACCAACAGAAATGAGTGATGGGGTTCATGAGTCTCAGACTTGTTTGTATAATGTCGAAGCACAGTTTAAAATTACATCTAATTAGTAAGTTCATTTGAACATAATGTTGTGTCAAAGTCTAGCATGAGCCATAATGATCTATGATTCCACAACTTCCAGTTTTGCTGCACCATTTAAATTTATAGTGCTGATAATGTTAGTTATTTGTAAATATTAGTTTATTTGTAACTAATTTGAGATGACAGAGGAAAGGCTATCAAGCTCAGGGTTTATTGGGGGTACTTATATCACCCTAAACATGACATCTGAATGTGGCCACTGAAGATATATGCACCCTCTTAAGAAATTACATTTTCTGTGCAATCATAACAAGTCTATATTCATTCATTTTGTACAACTGTTTACTCTGTAATTCCTTGTTTCTTTGTTTAGCAAAATGGACCATCTTGAAAGAAATGGTTTGGAGAAAGACTAAAGAAGTAGTTTTCCAGATACAGATACAGCGCCTTTTGCTTGTGACACACAGCAGAGAAATTGTGATGAAGTAACACAGAAGAGATATTGGCAGATAAAGGAACATGCTTTGCATGCCAACCAAGATCCCTCTCCAGTTTTAAAACCTCAGGGGAAAGCAGCAGAGCCACACTGTATCCTTTGGTGTATCCTTTAAACACAAATATCCACACACATGAGGAAGAGCTTCTGACTCTAACACATCTTGTATATGGGAGCCCATGGGTTGAGATAATCTGCAGACATAGTGACAGACATTATCTTCCAGTGATAATAACTCATCTGCCCAAAGTTTCTATATACAAAGATTATATGTTATGATAAAAATTAAAATAGTTTTTCTGTTTCCAGTATAGATTAGGTGGTGGAGAGGAGATGGGTAAGAAAGATTCTTACAGTACCTCTTGCACTGTTCCATCTCCACCTGCAATGATGATCATATCAGTCTTTTCCATCAGCTCCAACAACTTCTTTGCTTGCCCTTCATAATCTGTCTGAGTTACAAAAGAGGTCACAAAAACACATTGCATTGAACACTTCTGCTTCAATCTAATAATTTACATTTAAAAGTTGTACGCTGCTCCTTAAAGAACATTCTCCAGGATGGCTTACAACATATCATGCAGAGAAATTCCCAGATTAAGTCCCATTCTCAGACTTAGATAAATAAAGTACATGCTATTCTTCAGTTAGAAATTCAGTCCAAATCATATAATCCCTTTTAGGTAAAAGAAAAAAATCAGAAAAGAAAGCTACAGAGGTAATAAATGACGCAAATCTTTACAAGTGGATAGTTTTTGAGAACCAGGGTTAATGCAATAATAAGTGAAAAAGATCTGCTATATTTTGGAAAGATGAATGTACCCCTTTAATTACCACCACTCCCCTTAGACTTCTTTTATGCTTTACTTGCTACTGCAATATACTTTATACAACCTTCACAATATTATCTCAGAAAAATTTAGCAAATTCAAGTTTTCCCTTCCTTTCGTTTTTAACAACCTCATCACCAAACCTAAGCCTTCCAATTGAATAGATTCTCAAAGATGCAAAAGACTGTTCTTAATCAGCCTCAAGTACTTTGTAGCACTTTTATGGGTTTTCATGCATCCAATTTAACTTCTTAAAGCAGAATTACCAACCCTTCTGCCTGCATGCCAGCATTAGTAGCTGATATTTCAAAATGCTGTGTAAGGTCTTTCCTTAAGATACTTTAATTGAAAGTTACAGACTTAGCTTTTAAAAAAGAAATGGTTTTTAAAATAATAAAAACAGCAGCTGTCAACTAAATGACATTTATTTATTTATTAAACTGGGTTATGGCTAATATATATACCAAAAGAGGAAAATATTCTCTAGAAAGAGACATTGCAAATCTCCATTTAGGCTTTACCTTCACCACAGTCACATCCAAACCAGACAAGTGGAGAATTGGGGCTGCATTCTTTTCAAAAAGATTCCTGGCTTTGCTAGAAAGGAAAAAGTGGCAGATACTTTATGTGGTTGCTGTTCAAATTAGTTGTGTTAAAGCAGAAAGGTCAAATTCATAATAAAAAAAACAAGATATGCAGTATATCCCTGGCAAAATCTAGCAGCCAAGGAAACCAAACAGAAGCCATCATCTAAGGGAATCAATCCTGTTTTATCAGTAAACCCAGTGGCTATTTGACATTCCTTTTTGTATGCAGAATGAGTCATCCGTCTTTAGCTCTAAAATGCCTGTAATTCACATTTCTCATCAATAAAAACAAATCTGTGGGAAAGGAGGCTAGAAAACAAATATCAGGCAATGTCAACTTCAAACAGTATATATTTTTTATTTACAAATTATGCTTTTATCTTGTCCCAAGAATATCTCAGGACACCATATCTAGTTCTTCCCTTCTTCTCCCCAACAGTCCACACAATTTTATCCTAGCAAACATCCTGATGAGAGATAAGATAGGCAGATAAAGTGAATGCCCCAAACTCATCCAGTAATCTTCCTGGATAAGCCAGGATTTGAATGTGGGTCTTCCAAGTCCTAGAACAATACCCTCTCTGTTTTACTGCACTACTTCTCACTATTTTAAAACAAAGAAGAGATACCCTTAAAGGTGATGGTGTGAGATGCCTCTCCTATTTTTAAGAAAACTATGTTTTCAGTTTCATAGAAGACAATCTTTTAAATGTCAACCACAAGTGCATTTACATGTAGCACAGAGGTGGGCTGTGTACCATCTGTGGGCCACTTATGACTTTGCTAAAGCTTTGGGACAGAACTTAGAGGTCTTCCCCTTTTCATTGTCTTTAATCAGTGGGGAAGCATTCTGGCACATTTCCATTGCCAAAAGCTAAAACTGGTCATATTAAAAAAGGTCAGAAGATCAAAATTGGTGTCCTAATGTAATCTTTTTGCTAATGCTTATCATTTTATCTAGTCTTATCATAATTAGGAATCAGTTGCTCCTGCACAGAAGCATCTTTCAAACCTTCTACAGTTGAGTTTTTGGCAGAAAACCCTCCCACACTGCACATAAGGGCGTGGCTTCTGCTTTCCCTCAGTTTCTCCAAGGCCAATACAGTAGACCTGGTAATAAAGCCCTTATCAAAATAAGCATCTGTAAGGTAGAACATGGGTCGATTGTGTGACCACCCTGGTTACAAATAAGCAACCTATTTTTCTTCATCATGGCTTCTGTGCATCACACACACAGGAGAACAGCAAGCTTACATTTAGTGGTAGACAGATACTCCCCAGGCCAGGACTGAAGACGGCACAGTCCTGCCAAAGAAACCACCGCTCAGATGTGGACATCACATTTGTAATGCTCTACAAATACCTGCTGTTAGACAGGCGGCTACTCTGCAAGGTTAGGAAGGATCAATCTTTGGAATAATGTTGTGAATGTTGAAATTCTTCTTGAGGGGTATTCTTACTCAAAACGTAATGATGCGTGATGGGCTAATTTGGTAATCTGTCTGAATGGCTCATTTAACCTGTTAGGAAACTTTGGAGGTGAGTGGGGCGTACCTTTCTGTCTATAGTTCTGGCTCAAAAACATAAACACCTTCCAAAGAGCAAAGAACTAGAAGCAAATTATACAAATTCAGCATTCTTGTCCATTCCAACCGCTCCCAATGGCCAGATTTTTTGAGTTTGTTTCTCATCGCATTTGGGATTTGGAGGCAGAACAATATGCAGGTCTTTCTTTTTCTTTTTTCCAAATGGGATATCCAGAAGATAAGATCAGCAAGATCCATGGTCCTGTAGTGAGTCTGTACTTCACAACACTGGCTCAGCATATCGCCAAGGGGATGCCAATACAGCATCAAAAGCACCATTTTGACATAACTCCCAATTTCCTTCTTGTAACTGCCCTGTTCTGAAGGATGACTGGGAAATTCAGTGGTACAGTCTGTCATATAGGTAAATTGGAAAGCACTTTTGGTAGCACAGGAGCACTGGGACAAAGATCAATACCTCTGAAACTGACTAAGAGGTCTGTGGTGCTTTCCCATGCACCAAGCCATTATGTTCATCTTTTGCATAGTCTATGCTATCATTCCCTATCAAAGGGGAGATCCTGAATACTTTTCCAGGCTTTCTGGGAGAGATCTCAAGTTTCTCTGTGTAAAGCTACAGAACCTGCCATAAAAGTGACAGTATGATCACTTATGTACTCGTTGGGTTGATTTGTTTTGAAAAGCAAACCAACTCAGTCTGGAACACTGGTGTTAGATCTTTTTTATTAGCAGGAAGGTGAGAGAAACAGGAAACTATATTTTCCCAAAGAAAACATTAATAGCTACTAGACAGAACTGATGGTGAGACATTGCCACAGTCCACTGAATCTCCAGGGCAGAAAAGTAGACTACAAAAGAGGAGCAGAAGATGCTGAAGAAGAAAAAAGATGGGAAGAGAGACTCAGCTAATTCTGAGTTCCCAATGGTGCAACTACTTGCAGCAAGTGAAAAGGAAGTGAGTGGAAAATGAACCTACGCTTGTATGTAATGGGACAGGCTTCTGGCCAAAGACTCAGCTACAGAAGATTCTAATGAGGCTTCTGCACAGATGCAACACTCTTATGTGTGATGACAGAGACTATGATGAAGAATCATGGTTATGCATTTATTATGCTTAACTTAATGTATTAAATTTATGTTAGGCAATAGTAGGAAACAGAAGGCTAAATGAGGCTAACTGAAGAGAAAAAACTAAAGAAAAAAAACAGAGACATGACTTTGGAAAGTTCTGCAGACTTGTTAGATAAGAAAGTGCACTCCAGAAGCATGTCAGCAAAAAAGTATCCAAGGTACCACAAATCTTCATATAATGAATGTATGGATTGATTCTCAGAACATTTATGGTTCTGAGGTAGGCTGGTAGGATGTATGCAGTTAGCTCATGGACCAAAAATAGGGAATCAATCAGGAAGATAGCAGTCTTGGTGCCTGCAGTATAACACAATGGGTAAGATGGATCCGTGGAGTACTTAATCAAGAGAGACAAAGGCTTTCTGGAAAGTTCAACAAAGCTGGGAAAACATACTTTTTGCATCTTTTCCAATGAATCTCTTGATGGCAACATGAATTATATCAGTGTTTAATTTTATACAGAGCCAATACAGTAATAACAGTTAATGTGTTGATCCTGGACTAGAGATAGGCAGGTTCTACTCTCTACTTGACCTCATAGCTCACAGAGTGCCTTTGGGCCAATCACTATCTCTCAGCCCAGCTTACCTCACAGAGCTATTGTTGTGGGGATAAACTTAGAGAAGACACCCAAATATGCTACCTTGTAGTTTCAGAGAAAAGGAAGGATGTAAAGGCAATCAATCAATCTGCTTCTTCCACATGAAGGAAAACAGTATTAGACAAAATTGGCAAAATATGCATGAACAAAAATCTGAGCGGTGGTAGCCAAAGTACATATGAGCCTAGAGTAAAAAGCTGCTTTGTCTGAGTTTGTACAACCACAGAATATGGTTTGAAACCTGTTCCTGGCTACGTCGCTTCAAATTACTGTTGGGTTTATATATGCGAAGGAATAATTCTGAAGAATGTAATAGACTGTTTTCCCTTGTTGATCACAAATAAAAACCCCAGTATTCTAAAAGGTAGGAAAACAAAAGAACTATCCTGGCCCTATCCTTTGATAGCTATGAAGGAGCTCTTTGCATACAGAGATGATTTATAAAATCTTCTACAGGTAATCCTCGGTTAGCAACGGTAATTGGGACTAGAATTTCCGTTGCTAAGCAGTGTAGTCATAAAGTGTGATGTCATGTGACCGCATTGCTTAGCGATGGCAAGCCCTGCCATCCCCATTGCTGTCATTAAGCAACTACCGTGGGTCATTAAGCAAGGACCTCCTAAACCTGCCAGCTCCCAACAAGCAAAGTCAATGGGGAAGCTGGCTGGAAGTTACGAGTCCCAGGTGCAAGCAGGCCAGCAGACAGGTAAGTGGCTGCTGCGGCGTGGCGTGAGTGTAGCTGGGCCAGGGGTGGGTGATGCCAGGAGTGGGAGGGTGCAGAAGCAGCCGCCGCAGCACCACACATGCATAGCCAGGCCAGGGGTGACTCCTTTTTCAAATTACCCCTTAGGTGAATTGGGCTTTCTTCCCCACCCAAGAAATTGTGTGATAAATATAACAGAAAAAAAGGCAACATTTCCAGCAATGTAGAAAATAATTACAATTCCATTTACTAAGGAAGAACAATCAGTTTTTGCATGAGGGGCCCTCAGGAAGTAGCCTTAGAAAAGGGCTTGAATATTTGTAGCATGCTCATTTCCTATGGAATGATATCAGAGTATGACTACGTTTGCACATCACATGTTATGTTTATGTCTTAGTTATCCAGTAATCCTAACTGATTATCCTGCAAGTGGCATAACTAATGAGCTCTCTGGGGTTGTGCACCTACACTTTTTGTGTCATACAAAAAAAAAAAAAAGACTTTGGAACAAGCCACAGTCAATGGATTACATGATACAGGAAACATGACTAAGCAAGTCATAAGCAGTTCACTGGTCATTCTCACTCATGACTGCAGTCAGCAGGTATATCCACCAACTAAGTCATAAGCACTTAGTGTGGCATGAGAACCTATCCTATAAGCCCTGTATTTGCAAAATATAAACTATAGCACAGTCACTGACAGAATACCCCCTTTTAATTCAGATCAATGTTTAAATGAACCTTCTGCAACTTCTCCAGTATTCTCCAGACATGACAGACTACAATTTGCAAATGTGCTCTTGGCTAAGAAATTTGGAAATTATAATCCATCTGGAAGGCAGCAAATTGACAAAGATTATCTTAGAGGTTGCTTTTTGCATAAGTCACATATTTACAGGAAATGTGGAAAAATATACATTTGGAAGCAAGAATTAGTAAGTGAATTTAAGGTCACTGAATTAGCATGCCCAACAGTTGAGCAGTTTCATTTTGGTATACCTTAAATT